TTAGTTAGGTCAATAATGGCAAAGGTATGTATATGTATGGTTATAATACATCTAACACATAAATAAATTGATTTATTGTTTATGATTATATTTTATAAAATATGTAAGATGTTCGGCAGCCAAAAGACTTGGGTAAAGCTATTGCCACTCCTTCTGCATCTAAGGAGAAGACACCAGTTGTGGAGACTTCTCCAAATCCAATTTTTGATCTCTTGTCTCTTTCCCCACAATTGTATCTGCACTCATTCCAAGTTCCATGGGATTGTACATTATTTGGGATGGCTTCTAGCAATATCCCCCTATACATTTCCCACACTGATGCCCTGGAGATTGGGATGGGCAGTCAATGTCTAAATATAGCTGTTTTACAATTTTGGACATTGTAAGTTCATATCTTTCATGACTCTTTTCATTTTAGTAAATATATAAGTTATAAGTTCACTTAAATTGGCATATTTTAGGATGATGCATGAAATGATAGTGGAGCAGGGCATTGGTCATGTGTATGGATTCTTCGAGCCTCAATCCATACAAAAGTCTGGGAATAAGCGTGATCAAATTCTCAGTTACATGCAGAATTGGATCACTGATTCTAAAAGAGATATTTACCTTGGAGCATACCATCATTCGTAAGTTATCCCAGCCTCTTCTGGTTTTACACAAGTTTTTTTAATAGATTCTAATCATGTGTATATACAGAAACCACTAGCAACTATTAGTTATTTGTCCAAAGCAGAATGTTGTGTGTTGGTTTTGCTCATTGGGAAGGAAACCTGACATGGAGCTAAAAAATATTGTAAACGAGTAAGTATTTCTTATATTATGTCTAAACATCTTGATTATTCTATTTCTAACCCCCTTCTTTTCAATATATAGTGCTCTAAAGGTTTGTAGTACATTAGGTGGAAAACACACAAGTAAAAGCACAGCTCCAAATTGGAATTTTATCAAAGTAAGTAGCCTTTATATATATTATACTATCTATTAATTTATGTTCAAATTTAATAGTTATTTTTAACATATTTAGTCATTTTTAGTGTAACAAACAAAATGGAGGATACGAGTGCGGCTACTATGTAATGTATTGGATGTGGCTCATCATTTTTGGTAGCATTCAGGATAGTTGGAATGAGGTAAGTTGACATTTGCTATTATATTCAATTCCTTTATTTTTATTGCTTAGGGTTTACCATTCTATTATTGTGAACTTCTTACAGGCATTTAAAGATATAGAACCTTTGCCTATGGATACTATAGACATGGTTAGAAACAAATGGGCAGAAAAGTTTGTACAAGTAGTTAGGAATATGATTGATTGATAATTTTTTGTGTATTTTGTACATAATTTGGCTGATTTTGACATATATATCTATCATTTTATATATTAGTGATTAGCTGAAATAAATATACTGTCTGGACTGAGATTATATAGCAGGTCGTGTGTTGGTGGCACTAAAACAGACCAACATTTAAAAAAAAAAAGGGATATTCTACGTCGGTTATTGCATTAACCGACGTTGTAACGTCGGTCGCTTGAGCGATACAGAGGTCGCTTGAGCGATACAGAACCCGAGAGTCCCCTTTGTTTGAAGGTTTCGCCGCTCAAGCGAGTACACTGGTCGCTTGAGCGAGAAAGGACTTTCAACGTCGGTTAGTTCAATAACCGACGTAGAATTTACTAATTTCTACGACGGACATTTGGTTACCCGACGTAGATATATATCACTTTCAACGTCAGGTATTCTGAACCGACGTAGAATCCTTTGACATTCAACGATGCCTGAATCAACGACGTCATTGGAACTGACGTTGAATGCCTTGTATAACCGACGTTGAATGATCATTCTGTAGTAGTGTGGTGCGCTTGACCCGTTTTGGATAATTTATGTAAAATCCAATTTAGCTCCGAATTGAATGATTTTGGATCCTGTGGAAAGATCAATGTGTCTAGTTTACAATTATTTTAGAATCATGTTATTTGGAGATCTGTAGAAAAAATGACAAATAAAATAGTAAACTAATGTTAGTACCCGTATAAAATAAAATATGACATTTGACCCAATTTTTCAAGTCCAAAATTGCTTTAAACTGTCCTAAAATTAATAATGAGTAAAAATTAGATCAAATAGATTCAAATTAATTAAAAATCTAAATTATGGCCCAATGAAGCTCAATCAATGAAAATGCACTAATAATAGACAATTAAACACAATGCACCAATTAAGATAAGTACATAAAGATAAGAAAATGCGGGAAAATAATGGCTCATCATGGCCCGACGGGTTGGCGGGCTTGGTGGGGCGGGCCAAAGTGGGCTGAAAACACCAACCCGCCCTGCCATATTATGGCAGGCTGGCGGGCTAGCCTACCAGGTCTAACCCGTTTTGTCATCCCTAATTAAGACTTAACAAATGCTCAACTTATTACAAAATCATAAGAGTCTTTTAATAACTAAATTCTATTGTCAATCGGTTGTAGTCAGTCAATACTGGTCCCAAACTTTGTAACCATGATAGACCAAAAATCAAATCAGCACCAAAAATCTTTAAGTGGTGGAGATCAACTTGAAAAAAAAATGTCTTGCACTAATATCAGAACATCATAGCTGCAAGAGTTGTAACATATAAAGTCGCCATTGCCCACAAAAACTTTGAAGGGTTCAATACTCGTTCTACGAACCTTTAACTAACGACCAATTGCAAGCTTTATAAAATTGAATGAACGGCCACTATGCACCAATATGTTAAGGGTATGTCCTTGGAAAGTACCTTTCAACCGTAGCATGCAAGGACTATATTCTCTGGATATGGCATTAAAACTAATTTCTAGATTCCCCAGTTCATGGATGGTTCTTTGTCAGGTGACTTATCATCCAATAAACCATGGTTAACATCTTCCAAATCATCAGGTGCTAACAGGATATCACATTTGGCTTGGCAAGCATTAAATGAGCTGTATTTTTTGTTGTAATAACAAAGTCCCAAACAACGTTGTTCACGTAACTTTGCAGTAGTAAAATGTTTATATGGAGGTTTTCCCGTTGTTTGGTTGGTGATGAGAGGCTGTGGGGGACTCATCGTGACTCTTATTGGAAAGGAAACATTCAAACTAGGTATTTGATTGCCATGGGTGTGGACACTAGTACAAAAATGACATTTTACGTCACCCAATTGTCGTCGCATGTCAAAATATTCGACGTAAATAAAATGCGGTGGCAATTTTGTAAATAAGAGGTGAAACTTTTACGTCGCATATTGTAGGAGGTGACGTTAAAAACCTCTTTTACGTCGCACCTGGTACAACACGACGTAAAAGAGAGCTTTTTAAGTCACGTGGGGGGTGCACAACGTAAAAAGTATCACTTTTTACGTCACATGGGGGGTGCACGACGTAAAAAATATCACTTTTTACGTCACATGGGGTGCGCGACGTAAAAAGTGATACTTTTTACGTCGTGCACCCCCCACGCGACGTAAAAGAGGCTTTTTACGTCACGTACTAGGGTGTGCGACGTAAAAAGTTCTTTTTATTCTCTTCCATACCCACTCCCGCATCTCGCGCCACAAGGGTTTTTTAGAACGACAATGAGAACGACAACGATAGTTACCTTTCCACACCATTTTCGATCATTTTGGCAGTGAAGAACATCAACATTGTGTCTCATTTTACGAACTTGACATTTCTCCCCGATTGGATTCGAGTTTGAAATCGTTTTCGTGTTTACTCGAGGTTAGTGTTCTATGTCTCCTGATATATGTTCAAATTGAATCCGTGATTGTTTTTGGGGATCTCAATCACGTCATTGTATGAATGTCTCCACTGGATTGTTATTGGAATGTCATTATTTTGTTTGAGTGCATTTTCGGTTTACACACTCCATATACGTGCTTTATTGTTTGTATATTAATTTATTTTAAATATAAATTTTGAATCTCTAGGAGTGACGAAACTTTATAACATAATATGAATCGAAGTTGGATGAATGCACGTCGTATTAGTGAAGAGTACGAAAAGGGAGTTGATGAATTTTTGAAATTTGGTAGTGAAAATGGAAAAGGTATTGAATAATATATGACTTTTTTTCATTTAGAATCGTGTCTATAACTAATGTTCTAAGTGGAAAACCCAGAACAAAGACTTTGCAGTTCATTTATCCTAAGATTAGAAACTTATTATAATAAGTGAATACCATAATTATTGTTTGTATTTAAATTTTGAAAATAACATTATATTTTATTCATCATTTCAGTGTAATAAGCAAACAGACTCATTTGAATGTGGTTACTATGTTATGTATTGGATGAGAGCCATAGTTTGTGCGGGTATAAGCTGATTCTTGGACTGGAGGTAATTATTTTCAGCATTAGTTAAGTTTATTTAACTTTATGTGTGTTGCATGTTTACAAGAGTCAAATTAATGTTTCAGGTATTTCAAGATCCATCTCCATTGCCAGAATATGATATCACACAAATTAGAGAATAATGAGCAAGATTTTTCGTTCAACAATTCTAGTACATAATTTTTTAAGTTCTTGTTCATATTATATTGTGTGTATTATGTAGTTTAGATAGCTTAGTTTGTATTAACTTTTAGTTTGTAATAGATTTTTTAGTTTGTATGTTTGTATTATATTGTTTTATTATGTAGTTTGAATTATATAATATTATATTTTTAATTTACTAGCTAAAGAAAATTGAACCTCTGAACTGTCTGGTTGTAATATATATTTGCAGGTTTTAGTTGTAAACCAGAATGAACCCAATTTAAAAAAAAAACAGCAAATTTACGTCGCATATACCAATATGCGACGTAAATTTGCTGTTTTTTTTTTAATTTCTGAAAGTTTTTACGTCTGTTTAGTGGTATATGCAACGCAAAATTACGTCGGGTCTTGATAACTGACGTAAATTTACGTCGGGCTAAAGGGTCCGACGTAAATTTACGTCTCCCGTTTTAACGTCAGTCTTAAATACGACATAAAAAGCCCTAAATACCTGACGTAAAAGCCCCTTTTTGCACTAGTGGGAACAGGTTGTGCGACAGGGTTGCCATGGTTTGGAGGGATGCAAAATGCACTAGGTTTCATAGAAATAGGAGAAAACTCTTATGATTGTTTGTAGAGCGACATAACTTTGTTCATAAAGAAATGCGAGAGCGATAACCTCATGATAAGAGGGTGGTTTGGCCAATCGTAAATGACACTTTAAATAATCGTTCAGGCCAGCCACAAAGAAACTAACCGACCATTATTTTGTCAACCCATTGACTCTAGTTGAGAGAGCCTCGAATTGGGTTTGATATTCTTTCACCATGCTTTGTTATTTGAATTCCTTAAGTACTTATTGTGGATTGGTATACATATTGTTGCCAAAGTGTTTGTATAACGCGTTAATAAACATTTTCCAGTCGTGAGTGTAATCGTTACGGATCATCCACTTGTACCAAGTAGAGACCAGTCCCACCATATGAAAACTTGCAATTTTGATGTTGTTTCCAAGGGAGTTTTTGTAATATCAAAATACTCCTCTAAATGAAAAATCCAATCATCCACATCAATCCCTTCTAACTGAGGGAGATCAAGTTTGAAATCTCTAGTGTAAATGTGTGCAATTGAAGAATGCGATTAGGTGTGCGAAATCAAATGTGTATATTCGGCGTCATTGTTGTTATTATTTGATTTATGTTGCTGCAACAAGGACATGAGTTAGTTCACTTGGATTTCCGTGCGTTCTTGAAAATTGGAGTTTTGTGCCTCAAGACGAGACAACTCATTGTCAATTTTTCTAAGTCTTGTTCTATCAACCATGGAACGAGTCAATGAAAGCACCAGTGTTGAACTTTTTTAAAGTCAAGCCTAGAAATTGAATAAGAGACAATCTCTTAAATCAATTTCCAGTCTGTCTCCCTTGAAAGTTGCATAATAAGCTTATTTGTAGAGGCATAAACACTAGTGTAGATAGGGTTTTTATGTTTGTTAATTTGACCTTTTTACATCATATATAAGTCTGACATTAATGCGAGAGATATAAATTTACATTGGACATAAAAAATGACATCAATTTGCGTCAGTTATGTGGACAACCGACATCAATTTATGTTAGAAAAAATAAGAAATAAATGTAAATGAGTTTCAAAAATTAAAAAATGGGATGAAATTAACGTCGGGTGTGTCAATACCCGACGCAAATTTCGTTCTTTTTTTATAATTTTCTGTTGTTTTATCTTACAACCCAAACTTACAAACATATTTAAATCATAAATAGTCTAGATTATAGTTTTTCAATAGACAGTAATTTAAAATACAACAATATAATACAATACAATATAATATAAACTATAAAAGCTATACTAGTACAAATAATAAACTACTTAAAAGCTAAATATTACAAAGCTAAACTAATACAAAGACTAAATTAGTATAAAAATTAAGCTACCTAAATGTTAAATTACATAATACAATATTATATAATACAAACAATGACCTACAAACTAAGTACTAAATATTTTGAACGAAAAATCTTGTTCATTGCTCTCTATTTTGTGTAATATCATGTTATGATAATGGAGATGAATCTTGAAATACTTAAAACATTAATTTGACTCTTCTTAACATGCAGTATGCATAAAGGTAAATCAACTTAACAAATGTTGAAAGCAATTACCTCCGTCTAAGAATTAGTTATACTCGCACAAATACAATGATAGTGTTTATATAAATAAGTTTCTAACCTTAGTATAAAGGAAGATTAAAGAATATAGACTATTTCTTTCAAATGTTTTTCCCACTAGACTTCTTTTGCATCTTGTCGAACACAATATTAATGTTTTTCACCTACATACATGTTCACCATTGTGCAGTATCGATACAACTTCATTTCCTTGACATCCATTAAATGATTTCTTCATTTTACGATATGCATGATTAGGAACTGGGAACTTTTGATGCCTAGTGTACGCAGCCTTTTGTCCATGTTTAAATTAAATATAACTTGTATCTTTCTTGATATAAAGGACACACATAATGACCCTTCACACTATAACCGCTCAAATTTCCATATGCTGGAAAATAATTTATTGTGCAAAATAACATTTATGCACTACTACAAAATATACTTTCTACGTCGTCATTTAACGTCGGTTATAGTTGAGACGACGTAGAAAGTACTTTCCACATCGGTTCTCAGATGAACCGACGTTGAAAGTTGAATATTAAACACATTCTACGTCGGTTCTTAGTCAACCGACGTAGAAAGTACTTTCTACGTCGGTTCCCATATGAACCGACATTGAAAGTCTGTTTTTTTTTCACTTATTGACACTTATGAACCGATGTGGAAAGTATTTTTTTTCACCCAAAAATTCACTTAAATTGTCACTGGCAGGATTCAAACTCAGGATTTTAGAATTGAAAACTAATACTCTAACCACTAAACTATTATAATTTTCTGATAATAACTTACAAATAAATTATATTTATATACAAATAAATATATATCCATGTAAATATATATTTATTTGTATATATTTTCTGGAAAGTATTTTTATTTTTTTTCAACCAAAAATTCACTTAAGTTAATGAATTGTCATCGATAGCATTTGAACCCAATATTTTAGGGTTGAAAGTTAATATCCCAACCACTAAACTACTATAATTTTTTGATAATAACTTACAAATAAATTATATTGGTATTTTTCGATCGAGGGTGAAAGTGTGATTGACTCTCGCTTGAGTGAAAATATGTTAAAGCTCACGGAAATTCACTCACTCAAGTCTCGCTTGAGCAAAAATTGGTATTTTTCGCTTGAGAGCGAATAACGCGTTTCCCAAATTTATTTTATATCATTATATAAATAAAATTATAAAGATTATATTCTATCATTAAATTACAAACTCATATAAAGATACTTGCTCACAAATTTAGCATCAAATTTTGAAAACCCACTCGACACACACTTTCACTTTCGAGTGTGCCCTCACATCCAACATATAAATATATCAAAATATATAAATATATTTGTATTTATATATTTATATATTTACACGGATATATATTTATTTGTATATAAATATAATTTATTTGTAAGTTATTATCAGAAAATTCTAGTAGTTTAGTGGTTGGAGTATCAACCTCCAACTCTAAAGTACTCGAGTTCAATTCGCCAATGACAATTCTCTTAAAAAATTAATAAACTTCTAAAAAATATAATATAAAGAGATGGAGGACCTAATAAAAATATAATATAAAGAGAGGGGAGACTTCTAAATAAATAAAGGGGGTAAAGGGGTTGTAAATAAATAAAAATTATTAATTTAAAAAATCATACTTTCAACGTCGGTTTATTAGAACCGACGTTGAAAGTTACGACTTTCAACGTCGCCTGATACAACGTCGGTTCAACAACCGACGTTGAAAGCCTTCCAGAACCGATGTTGAAGGCTTTATTTGTAGTAGTGATGCAACCTAAAATGGACTTTGTGATATGCATCAAAGACCTCCACTCTTTCTTCCCCAAACATCTTCAAATCATCAATCAAAGGATTAAGATATACATCAAACCAAGGAGGCAAATTGTAAATGATCAACAAAATTAGTCGTGAACTATGTTTAATACTTAAATTCCCATAAGGATTCATGTCATCTACAGTTAATCACATTCTCAAGTTTTTTGACCCTGCATCAAATTCTAGAAATGTTTCATCAATCCTCTTCCATTGTGGAGAATCAGTTGGATGTCGAAGAAGATTGTCACATTTTCTACCCTTCGCATGTCATGTTAAGTTTCTTGCATCTTCTTCTATTGAAAATAATCTTTGAAACCTACGTATTATTGACAAATACCATAACACCTTAACAGGGGGCCTATCTATTTCTTCCTCACCACTACTTCCATCAACTTTGTTTTTGAATCGTGATATACCACATGTTGGACACATCTTTAATGTAGCAAAATCATTTCTGTATAATATGCAATCATTAGGGCATGCATGTATCTTCTTGTACTCTAAACTCATTGGACATAGTATTTTCTTTGCCTCATAGTTACGATTAGGTAATGTGTTATCAATACATTCATTTCTTGCTTTCAAACTGAACAATCTTAAAGTTGTTGATAATCTTGTAAAACTGCATCTTGGGCACAATTGTTGCTCAAAATCAGATTCCAAAGAATCATAAAGATGTGTTTTCTTAATATTTTCTTCATCAATATCACGTATCATCTCTTCTAAATTATCATTCATCCCTTCTTCAAAATTTTCTATTGTTAACATAGTTAGGATGTCTAATACTTTTCCATGTCATGTCCATATTGTATTACTCTTAACAATACCATAAATAAACAAGTGATCATGTATATCTCCAAGTTCATGACGAATTTGATTCAAACAACGGACGCATGGACAATAATATGTCCCTTTGATAGGTTTTTCATTTTCACAAACAAATTTCAAAAATTCCTCAACTCCCTTTTTGTAATCTTCACTAATATGACATGCATTCATCCAAATGTGATCCATACCTACTTATGTTATAAATTTTTGTCACCTTAGATATTCAAACACAAATTCACATTTAAAAAAAAAAGATTTACAAAGAACCAAACTCATGGAATTCAAACAACTAAACCGTGAAAACAAAATAATGCAATGTATGAACAATAAATGCACTCAAACAAATAAATGGATAATCACAAACTACAAGTTCAATTTCAATAATGATGCAGTGGAAATATTTATGCAATAATGTGATTGAGATCCTCAGCAACAATTTCAATTTGAACATAAAAGAGGAGACATAAAACACAAACATCAAAGATACAAAAATATGCTCTAAAACTCAAATTCAATCGGAGAGAAACATCAATCACTATAAATGAGATCCAATGTAGGTGTTGTCGTTGCTCATTATGGTTGAAATGTACCTTAGAAGGAGTTGGAATGATCGTTGCTGTCGTCACTCAAAAACCCTTCGCGTATGCAAGGAAGAATAAGTCCTAGGTGAAAATAAAATGTGACTTTTGCATCGGATCTCATAAGGGCCGACATAAAAGTTGTGTCCCTTATTGATAAAAATGCCACCACATTTTTTTTTAAGTCAGTTAATTTTTTATCCTACAAGAAATGGGCGACATGAAAAACCTTTTTTACACTAGTAAAGCTAACAAAATCCTAGTCTTGTATCTTTAAGATAAACTAATAATGATATATTTAAATAACTGATTTAAGATAATCTAAATATAAAATATCATAACCAACTAAAATGTATGTTAAAAAAAATGCCCAATTAGTTAAAATGAAAATCTAATAAAATTAAAGTGAGATGGCTAATATGGGATCAGTAGAAACATAATTTAGAAAAAAAACTCTATCTTTCTTGAAAAAGTTTAACTTTTATTTTATCTATATTTTTTATAAATTTTAATTTTTATTCTTAAAAAAAAAGATTTTTATACCAATTCCAATAAAAATGCTAGAAGATATAATTAAAATCTAATAATGAGAAGAGAATAAAATGCATATTGACTTACGTGCTAAATAAATAAATAAGTAAAAGAACAAATTTTCTCTTCAAGCAAATAGAGACAACCTATATGGAACTTCTCACAAACTTGCAAATATGTCACATGTAGAATGTTCTTATAACAACTTAAAAATATAAAAACTCTGTCAGAATTTTAATTGATATGTCTTCAAAATAATCAATTAAATTTACTTAAGAAGTTTTAGAAAATTTTCTATCAAAATTTTAATTGATATAACTTTGAAATAATAAATTAAAAACACTTAAATAATTTTTGTACCACAGT